GCGACAAAGGAGCGATCGTACTGGAATGTTCTCATCGCACGGTGGCATCATGGAAGAGAGCTCTGAGGAGCAAAGCTCGTTGACAAAGCGGTAGAAGAGAGCCAGATTGCTGTCGGTGCGCCAGGGCCCTGAGCCTGTCCATTAGAGATGAGTCATGGATGAGGCGGTCAGAGATGTCAAGGAAAGTACTTCTTAGCCCTAAATAAACCGCCTAGCTTTTTTCCAGCAGCTGCCGCTATGGATGAGATGTGCTTACGACCATTCGAAATAAACGGCTCTTTTGTAGAATCCGCGTTGGCATTGTCGGATGAAGAGGAGAACCGCATATATTTTGCGACCAGAGACGAAGCCAGCTGCCCATCTGAAAAGTTTCTCTGGGAGGCCACACGATGAAAGTTTATACAGGAGGGCTGCATGCCTCAGATGATTGAGAGCTTACGTGATATCAATATGAACGACATACGCCTCACCATAAGACTGGATCAGTTTACCCTACAATTGCGTGCCGTAACCTAGAAGGTCCCCCATGGATTGCTGGTGCCGAAAGCCCTACTGCCTGTCGCTAATCAAGTCGTGACGTGCTAAGTACTTCACACTTACAACAGAAAGCAGTAGGAAATCAAAAGAGAGAGAATATCCAATAAGTTTGGATATCTCATTCATAATGACCTTGAACTTGACTTTGAGGGTCATATCAATGATAACGCGACTTTCTTTAATGGGACCCTATACTTTTGACACCGAATATCGAAAGAAGGAAACATTAAAAGCCTGGATATGGCGTTGCCGTGAAGGTCGTTTCACAGTCAAAGCTATACTAAGTGACATATAAATCCGGTAATTGAGGTAGGAAATGCAATGTACTTATTGGCGTAACGTCGGAACAGATTTGTTTTTGTTTCCGGTTTCCGATTATACAAGATTCCACTGTGCCTTTTTTTAATAATTCACTCGAAGGGACACTGAGTAGTAAAGCCATATATATATATATATATATCATATGGCTTTACTACTATATATAATAAGTGACATGTAAATCCGAACACCCAGTTTAAATGGTTTTATTTTAATAAAAGTTGGTGAATGTATTTATCTTACTGTAAATAACAAGTGAAAAAATTTTCAGCCTTATCAGTTGGACATTCCGGTTTTTATACTGCTTTTTTTTAATTCACTAACGCTCTAAAAATGAATATTTCAGCCGCAGTAAAGAATCAACGTTGGCGGATTTTGGTTCTTGACATCTCTTACGATCGGTTACGATGCCTAGAGCACGGAGACCTTTACGATTTCGTCAATTTAGTGAGTTTGGTAGGGGCCGCATAGTGGGACTTCGGGAAGCTGGACTTTCTTTTCGGGCAATTGCAGTTAGAGTGCAAAGAAGTGTAGACACTGTGGTTGTCAGGCATGGCTTCGAGAAGGCGGTACGCAAAGAGCAAGGGGGGGGGCATGGACGCCGCCGTAGAACAATAGACCGTGAAGATCGCCGCCTAAGATTATTGGCATTAAGGGACCGTTTCTCCACTACCAGGTCCATTGCAAATGAATGGTTTGCAGAACACAGAAGACCTATTGGCATGCGAAGTGTTTACCGACGAATGAGAAGTTTTGGCTTGTTTTCATACCGGCCACACTGGGTCCTCCCTTTAACTCGAGAACACCGACGTAATCGCCTTGAGTGGTGCAGACAACGGTCACTCTGGGATCAGGAATGGAACAGTATTGTCTTTAGTGACGAGTCGCGATTTTTTTTAGGCATGCACGATGGCCGAGCCAGGGTTAGAAGGCGACGTGGTGAAAGGAGCGCAGCGTTATATCCACGAAGTTCTAGAACCCCATCTTTTACCCTATCTTGACACCCTGGCAGATCCAACTTTCCAACAAGATAATGCCCGACCACATGTTGCAAGAGTCACAATAGACTTCTTTCAACATAATGATGTCACATTGTTACCATAGCCACCAAGATCTCCCGACTTATCCCCAATTGAGCACGTGTGAGATATGATGGGTAGGAGATTGCTCAATTTGCAACGTCCTCCTCAGACTCTAGAAGCACTTCGAGAGGAGTTGGTGGTTGCCTGGAATGAGACACCACAGGAGGACATTGACCACCTGATCAGAAGCATGCCTAGGCGCGTTGGAGAATGCGTAGCACATCAGGGTGCATCCAAAGGGCTTTAAAGCAGTGCAGTCATTTTGAAATTTCTATCATTTACTTATTATGCTTCATTAAGTACTTATACAAAATTTTATTAAAATAAAACCATTTGAACTGGGTGTTCGGATTTATATGTCACTTAGTATAATTTATTAAATGGGACCATACAGGGTTATCCAAATTAAGTGTCCACCATTAGTAACTTTGTTATTAGTGAAAATACAAAGTTGTTTGAATTAGCAAACTAGTAGCATTTTTAACGCTGGTAAAAATGAGAAATAAAAAAAAACAATTGAGAGTCGTTATTTTCAGTAAAATAACATTTTTTTAAATGGAAAACCCTGTATATTATATTTTTTTCTGTTAAAGCATCAAATTTTAAACAAAAAAGCTTACAATAACTTTTCTCCTAGGTTACAAATTGTTGAAGTTATGGCCTCCAATCTGAAACAATTAAATTGTATCGACAAACCTTATTTTCAACATCAACTTATAATCTTACAAAATACAATAACAATTTTTTTTAAAGAAGATGCTCGAAAACACCACCTTGTTCTTCAATACATTTTTGGGTACGTTTTTCAACTGCTCGAACTGTCTTAAGTATGGTCCTACCATCTATCTGGGTTATCTTTTCCCTAACTGCAGTCTTTAACGCGTCAAGGTTATCGTACCTTCGCTTGTAAATTTGGTTCTTTAAGTAACCCCACAAGAAGTAATCAAGTGGGTTTAGATCTGGTGGTCTGGGAGGCCACTGTATTGGGCCATTTGTTCCTATCCACTGGTCATTAAAAGTAGTACTTAGAAAATGATAAGTACCTCTGGGGTTGTGGACAGGTGAGCCATCTTGCTGAAAATGCAGATGATGTCTACTTATAAGATCCAATTCGTCTAAGAAATTAGTCAGAATTTCTGACATAAATTCCACATATCTTTCACCAGTTAGGGTTCCCTCATAAAAGAACGGGCCAACAATTTTTGAACCAATTATTCCGGACCAAACGTTGAAACTGAAACGGACTTGTGGGCCTCTTGGATGTACTAACAAAAGATTTTCTCTTGACCAATAATGGTGGTTTTTTCTATTAAACATTCCAGAATTTGAAAAATTTGATTCATCTGTCCATAAAAGGTAACGAAAGTTATTTACATTTTGGCGACAGAAGCTAAGATACCAATGGCAGAAAACAAGTCTTCTCTCTGGATCCCCTGCCAAAAGCGTTTGAACTGGTCGGTACTTATACGGAATAAATTTGTATTTTTTTAAAATCCTTTGAACAGTACCATAACTGAAATTAGAGTCCTTGAGAATATCTGCTATTGAATTCTCACGATAAGCTTCAAAATATCCAATAACTGCAATTTCCGTGGCCTCGCTTATTATGAATTCTTTTTTTGCCCTTGTTTTAGCAAAAACATTTTCGTTGCCCCTAAATTTTCGATAAAGTCTCAGAAAATATCGTTCATACGGTTGAATGCGAGCGGGATATAATTCACTGTAGTATTCTCTTGCTCTCAAGGAGGATTTTCTGCACACTAAATAGCATTCTAACATATCACACTTTTCTTCATGGGAGAACATTTTTCTTTAAATTAATGACACAATAAAGCTTATAAACAAGTATTTACACTAATGTTTGACATTATTTGATTTTATCATTGTTTTCCAAAGCCTTCTAGTTGCGAGTATGTCCAGTTTAACAATTTGTCGCTTATCTTAATGCTGTCAAATCGCGAACGCCATGTTGTTTTCATAGCCGTCTTAATATTATAATACTGCAAATAATTAAAATTATTTATCGTTATTTTGACTTTATTTTTGACTTTAGCGGAAAAGTCATTATGAACTTTTTTGTTTAAAATTTGATGCTTTAACAGAAAAAAATATAATATACAGGGGTTTCCACTTAAAAAAATGTTATTTTACTGAAAAAAATCAAAATAACGACTCTCAATTGATTTTTTTTATTTCTCATTTTTACCAGCGTTAAAAATGCTACTTTGTATTTTCACTAATAACAAAGTTACTAATGGTGGACACTTAATTTGGATAACCCTGTATACTCTTGACCCCGAAAATCGAAACTAGGCAACATTCTAAGAGACGTTGATTAGCTTTCGTTAGCCGAATTCAGCAATGATCTTGCCTCCTTTGACTGGGTCAGTGATCGACTTTGGATTTACTGGTCGGATCACTGATCGACCTTGCCTTTACTGATCAGATCACTGACCGATCATATCATAGTCATGGTCAAGGATATATCTAAACTTAGAGCTTTCCCTTCTTTCAATTCTCGAGGTCAAAACTATAGAGTACTATTTAAGAAAACCTATTTGACCTTGAAATTACCTCCAAGGTCAAGGTCATGGTCAAGGTCAAGGATATATCTAAACTTAGAGCTTTCCCCTCTTTAAATTTCCGGGGTCAAAAGTATAGTGTCCTAAGGAAACCAATTTGAAATAACCTTCAAAATGAAATTCAAGATCACTTCTAGGTTGCTTAAGTATAATGCTACAAATCTGGTCTTGGCCATTTTTTCTCCGGTCAGTATTTTCTGAGATAGGTGGGGTGTCGGGAACCTTTTGAACTGTATGAACAGATAAGGAAACTTTGAATCGAGTATGCTCCACTTGTACTATAAACGAACAATGAAACTGAAAAAGTCAAGCGTCATGCTGAAAACATTAGGTATTTAAATCTTAATAGCCTTCTGAGAAACGTCATAGGAAAATTAATTTAATATATAAAATAGCAGTAAAAGCATAAATTACCTTTTTCGTGCCATTACTATTATACGCTAATTAATAAAAAATTTTGCACTATCATAAACGGAAACAAATGATATAATACTGTAGATATCTGTCGCTACGCTCATAAAAAAATTTGATGGGATGAACTGTTATAAAATCAGAGAGTCAACTCCACTCCTACCTTAATTGAACTCCAGCTGGGTCCGCAGTCAGGTCATGTTGAGATGGTGTTCTTCACAGTCATGGGTTATCTATTTGTAGCTAGTGTCAGTCTATTGTGTCTATTCTGTGTGGATAAATGGGTGAGAAGGTGGTTGTATTCAAGTTCAGAACTCATTCTAGGACCTTCTGCCCTACCAGTAATAGGATGTGCATATCATTTTTTTGGTGATCCCTCTAGTAAGTATGATTATGTTCGTCACTGAAGGGTCCATATGTTTGGTATTGAAACTTAATGATTTTTATTGAACTGCATCTTGATGTTGAAGTTATCAATGCTAGGGGTTCGGTCTACTTAATACATTTATAAAAAATAGGACGTTTCGGCAATCTTAATCACCATCTCCAGGTACATGCCAGTCTCTACTACTAAACAAAGGCGTCAGAAGTTACAACACAAAACACGTTAAAAAGAAATTAAAAAAAAATCAAAATTAATAAACAAGAAAAGACTTACTAGTTGGTAAAGATGATTACATTTTTGCCAGATAGATGTTGGAAGGAAAAGGTAAAAAATATATACAGGAATATTATCCGTTTACATTGAGTGGGTGGTGTGGATGGGAGAATGAAACACCAACGTTTTTATTTTTTTATTAAATTTGTGTAGGAATGTTATAGATTATTTTTGTATTTATAATTTATACTGGTAGTGTCTTTTTCTATGCACCATTTCAAGGGTGTTTCTTTTGTAGTAGTACGGTTTTTTATTTGGAATTTTTACATTTGTGAAATCAAATTCATGGCAATTGTTAATTGCATGTTTATCTAACGCGGCGTACATCATTTTTATTTGTTATGTTCTCACGCTTATACATCTTTTTCTTCAAATATTGTTTGGTATATCCTATATATGAACTTGGGAAGTCGTTGCAAATCGAGTTGCTTTGCAGATTGGGATTTTAGGATTGAAAGTATACTTATGTGCTACATGAACTTTGTGTTTCGAAAATACATATTCATATTTTCAGATAGGCTGCGACATAAGGCAATGATATACATTTTTTGTTCTGTTCCTCAGTGCGTTGTTTTTAATTATAAATCTGGTGCACTCTTTTCTTATGCTGGCGTCAACAATATTTCAGTTTAGTAGGTCTGTTATTGGGGTGTGCTAATAATACTGCTAGATCTGTCAAAGTGTTAATGATACTTGCTTTGTAGGTAGGTAGGTTATATTCAACAGTTATATCGAGCAAGTAATTCTTTCTGTCAGTTTCAATTTCTTCAGAATGAAAAAAAATGATTTTTTACCTAAACCATGCGATATATGAAGTATTTTTTGCTTTAATATGAGAATTAGAGGCCCTTTAAACCATGTGAGTTTTCTCAACCCTGAAAGATATTTTACAAGAAATCCACCATATTCAATAGATCCATTACCTCAAAAACACCTTCTGATTGGTCAAGCTTGTGGTCAAGCTTTGCGCACCGAATTGGTAAAATCGAACCTTAAAGCTTTTATTTCCTAAATTTTCAGATGTATTGAGAGCGATTATAAGAACGATCGACTCTTATCAGGACATAGTCAAATTGTGGTTGGGCTACAGACTCCTTTATGTACTGAAGAAACCAGAGTATATTGAAAAAGTAATTACCAACCCAAATGCTTTGAACAAGGACTTCTTCTATGAGCCGTTAGTGTCTGTATTGGGAGACGGTTTAGTCACCTTAGGAGGTATAGTATTTTAATGTTGATAATTCGCCGGGAGCCAAGTGCATTTTGGGAGAACTGAGACGACCGCAGCGCACTCATTGGAGAAAAAGTAAAACACAATCTGACTCATAGGGGAATGAGAAATAATAAGCTGTAAACTTGTAGAAACCTTCAAATGTTTTATACAATTAAGTGTTGGCCACTTAATGGATCAAAGGTTGGTCGTCACACGTTTTTTGCAAAGATGTCGCTTCCTGTGGGTTAAATGCTATTTGCATTTATCGTGAATATTGTAGAGAATGAAAGTCTCTACGACTTCTGTTTCAACAACATTTTTTCAGCGAGGGGCGGAGGGGCGGTTGGGCAATTGATAATTGAAGAGTGGAAAAGGAGATCGGCGATTCAAAAGAGAGGTGGAGATTGTCAGCAAATTGGATTGGATATTTCGGGAGTGGGGTTCCGGAACCCCAGAACACTTCCCCTGAATACGCCCCTGACGTTAAAGGTTAAGCTTAGTTCGGGATATCAGCCAATCACTACGGAGAACTTCCTAAAACTCCCTTGCTTGGCCTGAAATAAGATAATTTGTGTTTTTTAACAATTTTTATGACATCTTCCAATACAAGTAACTATTCTTTAAAACTTTTTTTTTCGATCACTCTCCTAGCAGGTTCCCTTATTATCGACCTGAAACATACCTTGATTCTCATGGTTTTTTATAGACGTGCTGGAGTTCTCGTTCACCGCGGAATATCGGGGTCAAAAACTCATAAATGATTAACGTGATTTACCCATAAAAAAATTGTGATACTATTGAGAGACTTGTTAACATGCGAAACCTTTCAACCATGTATGTCGACTTAATTATGTAAGATTTCATGCACAGCTGCGTTTAACAATTAAGACCGCATTAGCTAATTATACAAAATAAGTGCAGTGATTAATTTTTTGCAATCTCTGGTAGAAAAAACAAGACATATTTAGTTCGTTCTTGTGACGTTCGCGGAACAGTTTAGCAGACATTATTTGTGAATTATCATTCCTGTTGCATATGAGTAAACAATCCAATCAGTTTAAGACAAATGGACTAGGATTGATCACTACTCGGCTACATATACAGTGCTTTTCTCTAATGTCCCCCTCCTCTTTGATTTTTTGAACGGATCAGTTCAAAAAATTCAAACATGAGGTAATGAAATTGATGCGTAGATACCATATTTGAGAGTAAAATTGACAGATGAAAATGTCAAGATGACCGCTGGGCGCCATCTTGGAAACAAATTATATGAAAACGGGGGTCTTGTGGCACATAACTTTGAAGCTTCTGACGGGTACTTTATAACCCCAGAATATACAGTCAATAACTTTACCTACTACAAAATGATGATACATTTAATAATTACCTGAATACATTGACATTTAACTTGATAATTCGAATAAATACGTTGAGTTCAGTTTAGAAGATGCTGGAAACGGTTGCCTTGAACTTCTTGACACAATAACAGCCGGTCTGTAATTTCGCGTCGAATATTTTCAAACATAGTAACATCGATATTTCTACAAATATTTGTTATTCTCGGCCGTACATCCTATAATGAAGCAGGTTCAGTTTCGTATACCTTTTGCTTCAAATAGTCCCATAAAAAAGTCTAAAGGTGTCAAATCTGGTGAGCGAGCTGGCCATTCCACAGGACCTCAACGGCCAATCCAACGACCGAGGAAATTGTTGTCTAAATAATTCCTAACTTGTCTGTAGTAGTGTGGTGGAACTCCATCTTGCTGGAATACAATATCAGTATCGAATTCATTAGGATTCGCTTCGACAATTTCGGTAATTAGAGGGTCAATATTATTTTCCAGCATATCCAAATACAGTCCCCGGTTAAAGTTTGTTCGATGAGAGGCCCTAAAATATGGTTTCCCAATATTCCAGCCCAACAGTCCAAACGTTAACGGAAGACGTGAGGTCTGGTGTCACTCCAATAACGACAATTTTGTCTATGTACATTACCGTTGTGAAAAAATGTACATTCACCACTAAAACAAATATTTCGGATATATGTAGGATGCCGTGCAATGGTTTCCGTCATAGTCTCGCAGAATTCTGTTCTTGGATCAGGGTCATCTTCAGTTAGCTGATATACCATTTGAATTTTTTTAGGGCTGATACTTATTCTTTTTCAAAAGTCTCCATACAATAGAAGGACAAACCTCACACACATTCGCGATGGAGGAAGTAGACTGTTGGGGATTTAGTATGATCTCACCAATTATTTCAACTTGCTTTTCTTCCGGAATGGTCGGATGACCTGGGGGCGTTTTGTTGTTTACACTACCAGTAGCTGTAAGTTTAGACACAAGATCCCTTAAATATTTTCTACAGATAGGACGATTCGGGAAACGATCATCCAAAATCCTTTCGGTTCCGTGAAAGTTACGCGTGGCACCATAAATAAGAATCGCTTCGATTTTTTCTTCCAATGGACGAGAATTGAACATTTTAAAAATAGTTCAAACAGTATCTAGCACTAAAATGTTTGTTTTCGTACTGATATTCTTGTCACTATCAACAAAAATGACAAAACAAGTTTTTATCGCTGTTGCTATGGATACGGCATGGAATTACAATTATTTGTAGAGATATGCATGTTAGTGGATTTGTGTTCAAGTAATTATTAAATGTAACACTATTGTGTAGTAGATAAAGGTACTGACTTTATATTATATATATATATTTTTTTTTGAATTGATCCGTTCAAGAAATCATAGGGGAGGAGGACATTAAACAAAAGCACTGTATGTTTGCTTTTATCATTCTGTAAAAGAGTTATCTAGGTGATTACTGGTTACTGAATGACTGCCAATTTTCATGGTTAAGTTAACAGTAGAGCAAACAATGAATTAATTGTCCTCACCAGACACAAAATTTTTTGAAATGTTATTAGAATTTGTTTATTTCAAAAATTGTCTGCTCTTATGTCGCGATTATTAAAGATGTAGCTTATGTAAAAAATAGCAATTTTTTGTTTTACATGCTTAAAAATGGAACTAAGTCAATTGACTCTGCACTTTCCACGCAACGCTGTGTTTGGTTAACAAAAGATTATATTCGCTCCTCTCAAGAAGTTTACTAAGAATATAAAAAAGGGATCTACTCAGGGATTATATTTCACACATATTAGACATTCTGAGAAAAAAGTTAACTACGTATATGTATGACAAAAAATCTAATGGATCGAGTCGGTCAAAAAGGCTTAGACATTCAAAATTTGCATATTTAGCACGCTTGTGGGTATATAACTTTGACGCTTTTTAGAATTTGCCCCCTCCCTCTCTCCCATAAAAGAATTTCCTGTGGGCGCACATGATCCCGCATGGAGGACAATATTGACTTTCAAAACACGCCGCCCACATAGTGTCAAAGCGACTGCGGTATGCGATACGGTTTTCCATTTTCGGGATCGGAATCCCGTTCTGGAATCCCGGGATAAAAAAAGAAATATATATACCGGGATCAATCCCAATATATTTTTTTTAAATACAGTGTTAGTATCTAATAATAAATAAAAATACAGACACAGAGCAATGGGAAAAAATTATTAAAAAACACAAGAGTCAAAGATGTTTTTCTGAAAAACCAAAAACCAATTCTTAATAAATTACGTCAAGAGTATCTTTGAATTTGTCGATCTTTGCCGATTAGGTTTAGTAGTGACAGAGCCTATGGCCTCTTGAAGTTTTTGTTTTAAGGCTGTCATCTCAGTTTTTTCTTGTTCCAGACAGGGGCATGTCTTCATCAATATCACCATCAGGTTCTGAATCTAGATTAATATTTTTCTTGAAATTGTCCGATATATTTTTAACAAATTGAGGTATCGCTTCGGCATTCATATTTTCGAATAAATTGCCTCCATGGTAGGTGCTAGATATCCATCAAATGAAAATTTACATGTTACATCAGCCGTACAGAGATTAGCATCTTTTCTACAGATGGCTTCCACGGTCAATTTAACAGGCTCAAGGCATTGTATAATATTTCTCATGATCTAGAAGTCACTGACATTTATAATTACCCGATAATGTTTATTAATTAAGCTTCTCTGAATACAATCTTTCAACAAAACAAAACTTTCCAACATATCCACAAGGCGTCTTCTTTTACAGCCTAGTATTAGGCAGATCTGTTTACCATGCTTTTCCTTCACATACACTTGTAAACTTGAATTTTTGGTAGGAGAACGTGGAAATATCCTAACCAGTTTTGCGCACTTTTTCCTCAATAAAATAATTATTGTCGTAACTTGTGGTCATTTGAAGTTGCTTTTCTGGTCCTAATTAATGTAAAATGTTCGTGCCAATTTGTTCACTATCGCTATCCTCATAATTTTGGGTATCGCTAATTAATAACCAACCGAGATCCCGGGATTTCGGCGTTCCGGGATCCCGGATTGGAAGCCCTAGTCTGCGGGGTAAGACGCACGTCCATTGGCTGGGACGCAGCAGACGTATACAGTCGCGACTGTGTCAGACATTTTTGCTTTAGAGGTAAATCTATGATAAATGAAATATGTCCAATAGATGCGTAGAATTACTGTGGCTGGAGGCGTATAAATATGCCAACGTAAACAATGAGATATACCGTCGACTAACCCCCGCCCCACAACCTCTAATGACCAATTCTTAACCATTACCTAAATTTTTTTGAAAATGATTTGTTATTATTTATTCATTTTTCCGTTTTTCCCCCAGTTGTGTCGCCACTGTCGCTACAAGATCCTCTCTTATCGTTTGATCGTCTTGCTCTATAATTGTCAAATATACCAGGAAATCTATGTGTGAAATATGTTTAGAAGCCTGTGATTATGCTACCGCACACAATACGCCCACCCGCAATACAATTGCAATTCCTAATAGCCCCAATGCTTTACCGCACAAAAAAGACAAGCAAAAAGTTTCAGCGAGTCACTGGATAGTATTCCAAAAAAAAACAACAATGCTTTTTCATCCTTGTCATTGTATCAAAATTTGATCCAAATCTAAGTAATCCCTTCCAAGCTAGAAGGGTATGTGGTTTTCCGCAGCTGTCACACATCGGGCTGGAAGGGCAGGTGAAGCATTTACACGAAGCCTTTGCTATGACGTCTATAGATTTCACCATTCCAATAAGAGTTTGCTGTTCTTTGAAAACCCGATTTCGTGTGTTGTAGGGGCTAAGTGGAGGAGACACAGAAAACTGATAAACCCGTCATTCAATCAGAAGATATTAGACAACTTCGTGGAACTATTCAATGAAAGAGCTAACCACTTGGTGAAAATATTAGAAGAAACTGTTGGAGAAAGGAATGTGCCTCTGTATGATATAATAGGAGCATGTGTGGTTGACCTTAGTTGCCGTAGGTGCCACCTTACAAGCTTTTCACATGCTATTATATATTTACCTTAACGTCTGGGCCTAAGGCCCGTATCGTCAGTCGTCCCTACAATTGTAGGGCGCCTTTATGGCCTCCTTGATTGTCATAGTTGTCTACTTCTCCGTGTCAGAACTCTATTTTGAGGTTATGTCACAAACATCTATTTGCATCGAATTGTGCTTGCTTTTGAGTTATATCATGTTTTATCAGCCTGAAATTTCCTACAATTTAAAGAGAAAAGATACCTTCACAATAGGAGAGCGCTGACGCTGACACGAGACAAGTGTAATCTACAAATTTTTGAAGGAGAGAAAGGCGTATGACAATCAAGAAGGCCATAAACGCGCCCTACAATTGTAGGGACGACTGACGATACGGGCCTTAGGTTGTTAATAGCCATTTTTAAAGTAGGAACCGATTGCGCATAATGCCCGCACATACCACCACGTGACGTTTGTTCAACCTCAGAAACTCTTGGTCAGTCTTTCATTACGTCATTACGTTTCACGTCTCTGTATTGGGTGCTTTAGTTATACTGTTTTGTTTGTCGAAATGTCGCTCAGTAAGCCCGCCGATCGTGAAGTGCGAAAAGGAATTCCGTTTTTAAACGCAAAAAGTTCGTCTTGCTGTAAACTACGAGAGGTGCTGTAAAACATTATAAAAGCTTAGGCGCGGAGATATTCTCTAGCGGCCTCACGTTGCGAGAAGAACACGGACGCAAAACTTAAGGAATTTCCTGGCTGAAAGCGCTTAGAAAACGATGACATGTTGAGAAAAACCAGTTATAAACTGCCTTAACGGTGAGACGGCAGCATTATTTGACGACGGCATCCAGTAGCTGGTACCACGGATTCCCAAATGTCTATAAATTTATGACGACTATCTCGAAAAATGAAAAAAACTCAATTTTTTCATATGTGATACAATTTACGTTCATAAATAGTTTCTCTGACTGACATAACAGCCCTTACTTAAAAAATGTTCCTCGTACATTTGGTTCACATGACAGTACACAACATTAATCAAATGCCGCCACTTAGAATCCAATATGGCGGATGATACAAAATGACAATTTATCATTTGTATATGAACCCCTATGATATGGGTATCAAATGAAAGGTTTTAGTGAGAGAAATGCAATAAGAGAAATGACGTCATTCCGAATTAAAGTATGTGGTTGCCGCAAAATCACAATTTATGATTTCCATAGTCACACCTAGGATATGGATTTCGAATGCTAAGGCATGAGCAAAGCTCAATAAGTAATGCAACGGCATTCTGAATTCAATCTGACGGACGTCTAATATGACTATGCAATATTGTTTAGCTGTTCTGAGGTTGGAGGCAGAAGGTGGCTATAAGAATCGACCCAAACACATCCAACTGACATTAATTTGATTCTCCTTAACAAGTACTCTGGTTCTGGGATCTTATGATTAAGTTACTTCACTATTATGCAAAATAAATACTTAACTATAAATACCATAATAAAATTCAGCTTTTAATCATTACATAGTTCGTTAAAATGTAGCTGAGGTTTATATTTTATGATTTACTTTGATGGAAATCTCATAATAAAAACAAACTAAGAAGTTTTATGAAGTCCTATATTAATAGGATCACATAAAACAACAAAATGCAAAATTAGATAGAAATAACTAAACTAGCTATTCAAAATCATAATTACTGAAAATAAAGAAAAAATTTGAGATTTCATTTGGTTCTCAATAAAACGAAATAGATTTTGAAAATGGTACCAAATGGGAATATGCTATTTTATACTGTATAACCTTCAAAATCATCATTAAGTCCCTTCGCCTTGAGTTAATACGTGGAAGCGTGCTAATTTTAACAGCAATAGCAAAGAAGGAAACATGCTTTCATATGAAGGCCTAAGACAAAGGAACTTTACTATCGTCTGAAGTAGTATGAAACGATATACTTTCAATGGAAAAAACATTTTTAGACTTCTAGTTCGTTGTACTAAATGCTTGTTTCAATTTAAAAGCCGCTCCACACTTAGGTGAGAATCTCGTCGATCATCTCGGCAAGACTTTCGGCGAGAATTTCTTCGGGTATACTATCGCAAGGTTCTCAATACAGTTCTCGTGCTCGATGACGATGGATGCAGAATTAAATGTAGCACTAGATTTTTCCGATTCCTTGGCGATTTTTTTTGCTTTTTAATTCTTCAGTGATATAATAATTCCATCAAGGTACTAATACGTTTCCACGCATCGTGGAATTTAAGTTTATTTTTATTTCTTGTATTCCACAAAATCGGTTAAGCTTGAAAATATTTTTTGAACGCCAATTCTAGTTCATTCGTTCGAATCCGGCTCATATTGATGCATGCACAACTGCTCTAATCGGTGAGTCACCTGCCACTGAGAAACATGCGACTGTGTAGTCAATACAAGTTCTTGCCCGTTCCCGCGTTCTCAGCTCTTTTGTCGCGCGTCAAAAAAACTGACAAAAATCGGAGAACAAGTCGAGAACCTGCGAAGATTATGAAAATCGGTTCCTCATTCACATTCCTCATGTTTTTAAGGAGTACTTTACAGGGTAAATGATCTATTAATTCCTCTTACCAAATTATTCCTGTCGATGGCTCTATCTTCATATGGAAATCCTATCCCTAGGTCAGTGGATTAGATTTCCACGGCCTACTTTCAAATGAAAACTATAACGTTCTTTTTTGCAAATAGATAATGATGATCTTTGGTCAATAAACAGACACCTATATCAATTTTGAGGAGAATTTGTTGATACTTTTTCATGATTGGTTTTTTGATTGCTTATGTTTCTAGAAACAGCTATGGGTGTAAACATGAGCATTGGAAATGTTGAGAAACGCGTTGGAGAAGTTCTGGAAAAGTAAGTAACATTTCACCTTTTGACAAACTGGATATAAAACTTCCTACAGGCGAAGACCTATCATCAAGTTTCGTTCAATAAAATATCTAGGATTATAAAAATCTCACTTAATGAAACTGACATAAGTGTTGTGCTTCTATCTGTGGATCGCTGTTTGGAAGTTCCTCGTGTTTTTATCAACTATTTCAGACTAAATAGTTAATATTTGATTCAGGTTAAATGAACTCTCGACTGAAAGATCTCTGAAATTATGGAATCACATAGAGGTAATTTGGTTGTTGTCGGGGAAGAAAGCTCAATTCAATTACTACATAAAAAGGCTTAGAAGTATTGTCAATGAGGTAAGATTCGGAAGATCTCCTTATTTTCTTATCTACTTAAGGTAGGAAGAATGCTTATCCCTTTGCGATCTGGTTTACGTTTTTATTATGAAATTACTCATTTTATATTATAAATCCAATTGATGATGACGTTTCAAATATCATACAGCATGTTATCAGAAGTATTACATAACCGGTCATCTCATGCAGTATAAATCGGCAACAATATATGTATATATATATATTGTTGTATCCTGGAAGATATACTCTTTCTAGGGAGCTAGCGAGAGCTTGCGATATATGGTACAAAGGCAGGCAATTATAGTTTCCGAAATATAGTTATATTGCAGGGCAATTTATCGAGAGTTTCGGGATGTCTGAGTTCATATAGCAGAAAAATTATCTAGAATTCCATCATTCTTCCAAATTTCTTGTACTGTTCGACTGTTCTATATTTAGCAAATAATTCCATTTTTGAAAGACTGCAAATTTTACAAAATAAGTGCATGAGAATAATACTAAATAAAGATAAATGTATTCCAATTAGGCAAATGCTTAGCAAATTAAAATGGCTCAATGTAAAAAAATTATCAAATATCTTGTAATGATATTCATTTATAAAGTAAAAAATAATATATTTCCATCAAGTCTAACTAATCTAACGTCATCAAATGTCTACCATCATTTACATAATACCAGAAATAAAGATGACTTCCATTTAATGACCAAAAAGTATAACATATGCTATAAATCTGTATTCCATCATGGGTTGATTGAATATAATAAATTATACTCAGAAATAAAAAACCAGAAAACTTTGACAAAATTTAAAGTAAAATTGGGAAATCACTTGATAAATCTACAATTATAGGTTGCCCTGCATTTACATCATACACCATATGGCTTGAATTTACTAGTTCTAAGTTGTTTACAATTATTCTGTTTATGTAGCCAAATGTGCTAAATAAATCTTTCTACTGCTACTACTAGTAATGAATTATAATAGCATTGTTAGTTTTAAATGAGTGATGAGCGAAAACGTTCCAATATTCAATGGAATTCAGTAAAGTGACATTTGCTGTGCTTGGCAGAAAATCCAAAATCGCAAGCTGAACGTTTCCGTAAGATGTCTGTGACTATACTTGCTGTTTCCACTGACTGGGCTATCTTGTATGATATCATTTAATCATTGATAAAATACCTAAATCATAGGCAACCAGTAATGTCGGAATGGTATCACTAGTCAAGTATATTGATTATGAATTCATGTCATACCAAAAGACCAGTAGGAAGAAAGGGGTTAATAAAAACTATCTAATAGCATGTAAAGTAATTTGAAGCGTTACAGGTTATCCAGAAAAAAATGCAGGATGAGGACTTGAAGGAGTTAAGAAGGGACGAAAGCGTGATAGCTAACGATGGTAAGAAATAAAATACTCTGGACAGACGAGTAATCAACCTAATCAAATCATGTTGTCTACAAGAAATAATCCAAGTCAACAAATTCGAGTAGATTAGAAGGAGTCAAGCCTATATGTTTACATTGCAATGTTTGTCGTCAAAAATGTGTAGTTTCAGTGCACACTTTGGGCTAATTTGCCTATCATTGCCTACCAAAGTGACAAGCTAATACATAGATTTACACTTTATTTTCTGGAAAATATATTCAAGTTGCTATTCGCACTGGGTGTATTCATGTAGAGCAAGGCGGAAATTAATATCTGTGTTACGATGTGAATGACTCAGTTATTGGTAGTAAACAGGTATAAATTAAAGGCAAGGAAACCAAAAATTAATTATTTATCAACGATACAGCATATGAACAATTCTGCTTAATTCGGGATTTTAGAAGGTGAACTATACAGGGTGACTTTGAAGTTGAGTCATTAATTTTCAGATAATGATTGTAGAAGGAAGATAAACCAAAATATGTGTGTAAAAATAAAAAAAAAATTTTACCTTGTTTCTTAAAGTATCCTCCCGACAAGAATCTCAGTGCGGACCTGTATTTGATCGTGAGGTCTTGGAGCACCGGCATGCAGTCCCCTGTGAGGTCTTAAGTCACCTGATTCACGAGCCCGTTGCACTACATTAACAAAGGCACGAGGCTTTGGTTGCACTCGATTGGGAAACCGATCCGCATAAATATGTGCCATTTATTATTTCGTTTGAGCCATGGAGCAAACACCACTATTCACTCACGCGTTACCGACTGACACAGACTAAATAAAAACATTGTGATCAGCGTTTCAAATTCTTTCGCTTTTTTGTTTCCGATGCGATGAACCTATAAGGCGGAGTATATCCGTTGTCGCCAAACAGGAGCACATAATATTATTATTGAGACAGGGCGGTACTCAAACTTCTAAAGGGCTTTGTTACTTTAATTTTACCACAAAAATGTTAAAGGAAAAAAACATTTCTTTTGATCAGATCTACTCACTGTTAAAATAAATGACTCAACTTCGAAGTATAATACGAAAGATTCTCTCCATCAAACAGCAGCAATGACGGAATACGTGATATTGGAAATAATGGGACACTGCACGAATTTACTCGGTTTTTCTAAATAACTGTCGAGATCCAAGCAGTCTCTTGGCTAAATGCAAATACCCAGTCAAACATAACATGTACATTTCTGCCATTATATCATTATAACTATAGTTATTCAACAACAAGATTGGGTAGTATCAGCTTGCAATTCATGGCTTCCTCTAGAGAATCTCGCGGCACTAAAATTAGGTCGTAAAGCTACTACTTATAATGCAAAAGAATATCTACTACGAACTGTTATATTCCAGATCAGAGAAGATACGGTTAAACTTTAGTTTAGTTAAAGTTTTGATTGGCCCTTTTCAATGACCATCAAAGCATTTGGTTTGTCTCCGATGTTTTGCATATTTCAATGCTGTTGTTTCTTACACAATTCTGTCAAGAAAGCTTAGACTGAGACTGAGTGGTCAATGAAACAATAATTGAAATGAAATAAATTAAAATTACTACTATTCGGGATAACTGCTCAATGCTGAGGTACATGCTCTTTTGTAACACCGATTACTATGATATATTAACACATACCGATAAAAATATTTGCTCTTATTCAGTTTGGACTGCCTTATGCAATCCAAAGCCAAAGTCACGCATATTATCGAACAAAAGTTGAATTTGTTGTGAAATGCCAACTACTGACAAACTGAAGCTGGCAGCCTTGTGGTGCATCCTGAATACTGACTACGTAATTGTGACAATAAGCAAATCGTAGGCCTGATCCTTCTACCTGTTCCAAATTTGTTGATCTAAGGGCCGTATCGTCAGACGTTCCTATAATAATTGTAGAACGCCTTCATGGCCTCTTTGATTTTCATAGTTTTCTGTCACAAATACCTATTTGCATCAAATTATTCATGCTTTTGATTTATATTATGTCTTATCAGCCTGGAATCTACAATTCAAAAACAAAACATAACTTCACCATGGAAGAGCGCTGACGCTGAACAGCAGAAATCTAGAAATACTCGCTGAATGAGAGAAAAGACTATGGAAATCAAGGAGGCCATAAAAGCGTCATACAATAATTGTAGGAAAGACCCTAAATAAGTAGCTGCAGTTAAATTATTGAAATTTCAGGATATGATTCGAAAAGACGAGCCTTTCTGGATATCCTCCTTACACAAACGGATCTTAACGAAAAAGAAATAAGGGATGAAGTGAACACTTTCTTAGTTGCGGTTAGTATTCATATGCAGTTAAAAAACTGTAAACTAGATAGGCTACGATATTTGGTTACATAACTACTTGAAGAATCTCAAAGAGCATTCTCATAGCAACTTTTCTTTTAGGCAACAAGAACTACAACTAACACTTTGACTGCTATATTTACCGTCTTAGGAATATATCAAGATGTACAGGTAAAAGAGAAATTTTAAAAATCAGCTATTTTTGAGGAATAGGGGTTTTTTAAACACAACCAAATGCCAAACTTTCTAAATTCCAGAGAAAAGTGTACCAAGAGATTGTAGACGTAGTGGGTGTAGAGGGAGAAATAAGGCCAGAACATCTACAGAGACTAGAATATACTGAAAGGGTAATCAAGGAAACTTTGAGAGTCTTCCCTGCAGTAGGCATGTTCAGCAGATACGTAGCAGAAGACATAGATTTAGGTAGGTCAATTTGACCATTTGGATTTATCATATGCGGCGTATCGCAATATACTTGTTGAAGCACTTCAATTTTCACAATCTACATGTCAGGAGTTTTAGCTGGATTGCTGGTATTCGCATAAGTCAGTGACTGGGGACTGCAGTCCCGCAGCTTTTATAGAATTTCCAAGCCGACTATGCGTTTTCTCCCATTCCATGCTTGTAGCTTTGCGTAAAATTTTTTCAACAATTCAAGATATCCTTTGTATAATACAGCAGCCTTTGATTATTGATTTTTCACTATTGTTCTCTTCCAAGCGTCTATATCAAGAGTTCCCAAACAGGGGGGCATAGAGAGATGTCAAGGGGGGCGCAAGGCGTTTGCATTTTAGAAAGAAAAAAAAATAAACAAACAACATTAGCAAATAACATTACAATCTAATATTTAACTTACACGCATAAAATTAGAAATTACATATCATATTCACTTATACTGTCAAACGCTGTTTCAAAACCCGACGTCGTCAATCGCAGTTTATACAAGTTTCGACAAGTTACAACATGAAATGCCTCAGTGTGTGATATGTATGGAAGTTTTAAATTAAGTTTAAATGATAGCATAAGGCCCAGTCGTCTTGAAATGCATTTGAAGTAACAACATCCTCATCTGGTTTGATGACGAAAGAGTTTTTTTCTTCTAAAGCAGAATCATTCAAGCTGATGAGACTGGATAAATCGGGAAGTCATCTCACAGGTGAATCGCAGCATCTCAAAGCTTCATTTGAAATAGCTTTTATGATAGCAAAGAAAAAGAAACCTCATACTATCGGTGAAGAACGAATAAAACGATGGGTCCTAAAAGCCACGCAGATAGTTTTAGGAGAAGATGCAGAGCAAAAAATGAAGTCTATTTCTCTTTCGAATAACACAGTCAAGCGTAGAATCGATGACATTGTAGCAGACATAAAGTCACAAATAATTAACAAAGTAAAATTATCGCCATTTTTTGCTAGTAGTTGCAATGAATCCACCGACATCGTTAATTGTGCACAGTTAATAGTTTATGTTCGTTACATCGGCCGAGATATCATTCAAGAAGAGATTTTGTACTCCCAATCTTTGACAGCAGGTACCTCATCTGCAGATATATTTAATTCAACATCAAATTTTGCTGAAAAAAATGATTTGGATTGGAAGAAACTCATTGGACTTTGCACAGATGGAACACCTGCAATGATAGGTGTACCATCGGGCTTAGCAGTGGTCAGTACACATTGCGTTTTCCATTGGCAAGCTTTTGCTTCCAAAAGATTGCCACAGAAATTACGCCAGAATTTGGACTTGGCTATAAGGATTGTAAACTATACCAAGAGCAGCGCTTTGAACAGTCGTTTATTTACTTTACTTTGCGAGGATCACGATTCTGATCACAAAGTTCTTCTGTTCCATACAGAAGTACGCTGGCAGTTCAAAGGCTACATGTTGGCTCGCCTTTATGAATTGAAAGAAAGGGTAATTCTTATTCATGAGTTCAAAGAAAAACACGACTTCTTGACAATCTTCAAAGATGACACAGTTCAATGGAGGTAGGCTTATTTAACTGACATATTTGACTCCTTGAATGAGCTAAACTTTGAATTTCAGCGCAGAAACAACACTATAATAAGCAATTATGATAAGTCATTTGCTAGCGCTGGAGGACGAATTTCGCGGATACTATCGAGACATCAATTCAGAGTCACCAATATGGCACATGACAAGAAATCCATTTCTTGTCGATATGTCACAATTACCAGAAGAACTCCAGGAAGAATTCCTAGAAAGGGAGGCTGATTCGTCCATGAAAGATGACTTCCATCTTGTAACATTGAAGAAATTTTGGATCAAAAGATTGCTTGTTAATTCGACACTTGCCTCTCTTGCTTTACGAATACCAGTTTTTTTTTCTTTGACTTACCTATGTGAGAGAGGCTTTTTCAGCTCTAGTTTTAATTATAGCGACCAGATGATAGCTCTGGCAAAAACAGAACCTAGAATCAACCAACTGGTACAGAACATGCAATCTCAAGTGTCTCATTAGTACCTACTCTTATTTTATTTAAGTTTTTCGATAAAAAAACATTTATTAGTTCATTTAAACTTTTGAAGTTTCCTTACTAGAATTAAAATAAGAGTCCTTGTACCTATATAATGTGCGTTTTTTTGTATTTATTGAAAAAGTAAAGGGGAGCATGAAAATATAATTTATAGGCCTCAACAAAAAAAAAGGTTTGGAAACCCTGGTATATATTGTTACAGAATGACACCTCTTGCAATCTCAATATCAGCGAATAACGTTTCAATAAACTGATTCGTAATAAATATCAATTTCTCTCCGGTATTCATTCACAGTCTTATTTATTTGCAGGTAATAACGTTAAAATAGAAAAAGGAGCATCAGCAGCTGTCCCAGTGGTGTACATGCACAGATGTGACAAGTTCTGGACAGACGCGATGAAATTCAATCCAGATAGGTTTTTGCCAGGAACTTCGAGTAGACATCCATACACATACCTTCCTTTCTCTCAAGGACCTCGAAACTGTATAGGTAAGCAACGAACTTTTGAACAAAAGGCGTAGCTGTCTTTTCTGCCCTTACGACGTACGGAACTACCACTTGAGCAGTTTTTGTAGTAATCACCATGGTTCCAGATATTGAGGTGCGAGCAAGTATTGAACATGGTATTCATGAGAAAGAAGAACTTACTGAGTAACTCGGCATTAAATGTAGAACTAAGGTACTGCGTCGTTACGGCGTACGTGCACCCTGTCCTTAATGGATCGAAAGCTTTAACCTTACAAGTTTACACTATGAATAGACTCAAATCAGTCGAATCTGAGTTTTCGGAGGGTGAAATAAAAATCTCAAGGACTGAACACATGGCCAATGAAGGATTTTTTTATTTTAGAACATTTAATAGTTTATTGATTGTGTAATTTCATTCATATTATATCGTTCGTTCTCTGTTAGATTCTCCTTTTGTGTGGTGGTCAAGCAAAACAGGTTCCGACTAACATCTCGGGGAGTTGTGGCTTCCAATTTGCAAAACTGCAACGATGCAACTGACTGGAGGAGAAAAGATGATGATTTTCTTCTGTTTCTCTGACGGTCAAAATCCCATAAACAAATGAAAGACGTAGCACCCAAAATAACTAAACTTAAGATACACAACAAAAAGAAAAGGGTGCTAGTCCATGAATGGGCGCTTGGGGCCTAATATCCCAGAGTCCGGAAAACGACAAAACGACCCCTGCCCCACGACCTTAACGGAAACAGAAAAGCGAATCACGCAGAATACGTAACGTTCTAGAGGAAGGAATCTTAAGTGGCCTTGAAGAAGATATGTTTTATAGGAAACCAGCCAACGGAGAAAAACTACAGAGTTCTTTTGCTGATCGTCAATACCATACTGAATCGCTGAGAAAGAAAGATCAAAATCTAACGGGTTGTCCAACAGGGACGCAGGAAAGTAAACGTCAATTTGACATAGACGCCATCTTTGTTTTCTGTCACCGACATGTCATTTTGTTAGTTGAATGTTTACCATTGATCGCTATGGAGTCGTATTCGATTGAAGACCGCATTAAAGTTATTCAAGAGCACTACAAAAATGGTGCAAAAATAAAAAACACGTTTCGCGCGCTTCGTGAACATTTCGGTCACAACAACCGCCCAAACGAAACAACCATCGGTCGTCTGGTGCGTAAATTCGAGGCAACAGGTTCTGTGGCAAATCTGCCAGGCTCTGGCCGGCCAAGGAGCGTTCGCACACCGGTAAAATATTGCTGTTGTGAAGGAGAGTGTGAGAGACGATCCGAAACAATCAACAACGCATCGATCCCAAGAGTTGGGCATTTCGAGAACCAGTTTGCTCCGCATTCTACACAAGGATTTGAATGTACACGCCTACAAGATCCAATTGACGCAAGAGCTGCGCCGGGCCGACCATTTTTCGCGCCGAACGTTCTCAGATTGGCTCCTTGAACACCGCCAAATTGATGCCAATTTTTCATCAAAAATCATGTTCGGCGACGAAGCGCATTTCACTTTGAATGGACGGTAAACAAGCAAAACTGTCGCATCTGGGCGAAGAAAATCCCCGTGAGTATCAAGAGCAGCCGATGCATCCTCCACCTGTGTGGTGTGCAATGTGGTCAAAAGGCATCATCGGACCTTACTTTTTCGAAAATGCGGCCGGGGACGCCGTCACCGTCAATTCTGAGCGATATCTCGTGATGATAGAGGACTATTTTTTGCCGCAACTTGAAGGAATGGATATGGACGATGTTTATTTCCAACAAGACGGTGCAACATGCCACACAACCAACGTCAATATCCATCGATTGCAGTCCTTCTTCGGTGATCGCGTGATTTCGCGCAGAGGAAATGTGCCATGGCCACCAAGATCGTGCGATTTGACTCCCTTGGACTTCTTTTTATGGGATATTTGAAAAGCAAAGTCTACGTCAACAAACCAGCCACCCTCCAAGAACTCAAAAACAACATCATTGCCGAGATAAATGCCATAGAACCGACCATGCTGCAAAATGTCATTCAAAAATTTCGACCATCGCGTGGACGTCTTTAAATCCAGTCGTGGTGAACATTTGAGCGATATTATTTTTCATACATAAATGGTATAAATGACCCTTCAAAATAAAGTACCCAACTTGATTCGAATATCAATCTTTCTTGTTTCAATATGCGTTTACTTTCCTGCGTCCGTTTTGGACAAACCCATATTAAACTTGCAAAAAGAAAATCATTGAAAAGGGGTTTGGCCTAGGAATGGGCACTCTATTATCAATGAAGAGAAATTCAAATTACTGATAAGTGATAAATAGAAAAAAAAGAATACATGATTTTGGCACCTGACAGAGTTCTTCTTATGACCATCAAACGTAGAAAAGCAGCTGTTTTCGGACAATGAGGATTGCGGCAAGGTAGTTAGAAAGCGCGGTCCTAGCCAAAAGCAAAACTCGTGGTTCAGCCGTATACGTGATTGGACCGATATGAATTCATCATCCATAATTCGTGCTGATCAGGACAGCGGAAAAAATGCTAAATATATCACCAACCTTCATTAAATGGGGATGGTAGAGACTTTTTCAGAAGACCATATCCTTTTGTTCACTTTGCATTGTCCATCTCTAAGGCAAGACTTCGTATGACTGTTAACAAGTATGACACGACTTCGTATGTAATTGGTCATGATCACAGAAACAATTAGATTTTGTCCAGTCAAACACCTAATAAACTAATCACAAACTACAACACCGTCCAAAGTATTTCCATACTTCGGAATGATATTATACTGAGGCACTCATTGCTTTGATAGCGCCTTGGCTATCCCAGATATTTGACGGGATTATGGCAATAAGGTATTTGAGCTGCAAGAAATCTAAGGTTATGTTTGATGTAAAACCTGAAATCATGTTTCTCGCTTAATTTCGATTAGAATGCTACAGAATTTTTACATTTTGAGAATATCAACATAATCAAAAACATATAACGCATTTTAGTAAAATAAATCCATCTACAAAGATACTGTGGCTTGATATCTGATTGAGAAACAGTCAAGTCTCAGGGTAATTCAAAAATGGTTTGTTTTATCAACATAAAATCTAACTGTTCATTGTTGGCTTGAAACAGCAGACTTCATTAAATTTGATGAACTCCTTATTTGAACCATTTTTTTTCTCTATGTACCCGGACCAGGACACTCAGAGAGACAACATCAGGACGAGTTTCAGATGTTACATCTATACAGCATATATGTTTCATCTTCTGCTAATCTCGATCACTCAATACATTTCTGGCCATTATTTCTGAGGAAATAATAATAATAATAATAATAATAATAAAATGTCTTTATTAGGCACATTATATACACTACAACATAATGTGACCTCTACGTAGGCGAAGTCTAGCTCTTGGCTACTCTACTTAACCTAACCAAATACTAAATTGAAACACTCAATCAAAGGAAACTTTGACAAGCAAAAGACGCTTCAAAACAACGAGCTTGATAGCTGCCTAGCATACATATATACACACATATATTACGTAAAATAAAATAAAATGTAAGAATTAAAAACTAACTTTTCCACAATTACTACAATGACAAATAAATCTGTTTCACATGCTTACGAAATCTGTTTACTGGCCAATCCTTTATATTGTCATCTAATTCGTTATAAATCAGGATAGCATTGTAAGTGTAACTACGAAATAAAGTTGTTTTATACATAGGGATCTCTAGTCTTTTTTTGTGTCTGAAATCAATGTCTGAATTATTTCGTCTGAAAACAAATTTCTCATAAAGATACAAGGGGGATCTAGAAGATATGATCTTATGTGTAAACACTGCTATATGGTACTTGCAAGCATTTTCTATACACATCCAACCAAGCTGAAATCTCTTTAAGGAAACATGATCATACTTCTTGAGATTAAATACAAATCGACAACAAGTAGTTTGAGTTTTTGGAGTCTTGCTTTTGTGATAGAATCAAGACAATGATAGAACACAGTGCTACAGTAAAATAAGCTTGGAAATATAATAGCCTCACATAACTTTTTTTCTAACTTTAAAATTCAAAATAGAGCGATTGACATAAAAACACTTCAAAGTTGCATAACATTTTTTTAAGATAGACGAAACATGCTCCTTAAACCGTAAAGTATAATCAATAATCAACCCTAAATTTTTTGTAGTATTTACGACAGCTAGACGCTCCTTGTCAATTTTTACATCAAGAGAATACAATATAGTGTTACGCTTGACAGCAGGACAAAAAAGCATCACTGAGCACTTATTCTTATTGAGCTTAAGATTGTTACCATTTGAGTATCCTACTATTGCCTCCAAATCATCATTAAGCTCATTGATTGAAGTATGCAAAGTGTTACTATTAAAGCTCTTATATATCTGTGTATCATCGGCATAGCACATCACAGAAGAGTTTTTCACAGAGCTACCCAAGTCTATAGTATAAATTAAGTACAACAAGGGCCCTAAAACTGATCCCTGAGGGACACCTGATGTTATATCAATCGGACTAGATATAGTGTTGTCTATCTCTACTACTTGTTTACGATTTGAAAGATATGTTATAAAAAACATTAGAGGTATGTCTGAAAAACCAAAAAACTTCAATTTAGCACATAAAAGCTCGTGATCTATTTTATCGAACGCCTTAGAATAATCTAATGATACAAGTGCTGAAGCATCTCCCTTATCAAGCGAAGCAATGATGTCATCTAAAACCCTTGCTAAAGCTGAAGTTGTACTAAAAACCACTGCGGAAACCAGATTGACACTTGGGAAAGAAATCATTATTAGAGAAATAATGATAAACCTGATGTTTAATCAATTTCTCCAATATCTTCGATATAACAGGAATCAACGTTATAGGTCTTAAGTCTGAGAGACATTTTGGATTTTTACATTTAGGCAAGGGCTCGAGAAGAGATAGTTTCCAAGCATCAGGGAAATACCCAGCCTCCAGGCAACAGTTCAATAAATGCGTCAGGGGTAGTAATACTCGAGGCAAGCAAAGCTTCAGCATTGAGACTGTTATACCATCCGAACCTGCTGCATTAGATTTTAGGGACAGAATAATGTCTAGCACATTTTGTGGGTATCAATACTAAACTCAAATCTAGCACTTTCATTAATTTTGGTACTATTAAATTTATCAACTAGATCCTTGCAATTGCCCGAAGGCGTGAAAACGGAAGAAAAATAATTGTTTACTTCATCGGCATTCTTCAAGTGTGTAGGTAAAGATCTATCTACATTAGTTTTGAGTTTCAATGAATGTACAGCTTTCCAGAGATGCTTGTTACTATTTAGTTGTTCATTGAAGCTTAGATATGCTGCTTTCTCCCGTCTAATAGCGGAAATGACATCATTTCTTAATTTCTGGTAATATCCGAGACTAGCTGGACTTTTTAAAATCTGATATTTTCTAAAGGCTTTATTTCTCTCGGAGATCAAAAATTTTATGCCACCTGTGAGCCATGGAGCATAAGGTTTAGTAATACGTGATGAAACAACAGGAGCATGGACATCAAACAAATCCAAAATATGATTAGAAAAAAACGTAGCTTTATCCTCTAAGTTACTGATGTAATATATATCGTCCGATGGGATTTTATACAAATCCACCAAAAACTGATCTTTACAACAGTGTTTAAAGTCTCTATATTTGACAGTCTTTTGAAAATTCTTAGGCCGTGTGATGTTGAAGTCACATCTGACTACATTATGATCTGACAAATTCGGAACAGGTACAGAGCTAGTTGAAATTAATGATTCAGCTAAGTTATTTGTTGTACAAATGACATCTATGGAGGTTGCCGTGGTTAAAGTTATCCTAGTTAGTTGGGTGATGTGAGATACCAATATCGTAGCACGCAATGCAATCTAGAAAAGAATGGTCAGTAATTTGATCAACGTTTATATCACCCAGCAAGCATACATTATCATACAATCGTGCCTAATTTAATTTTTTTGCCATTTTTGTTTCAGGAGGCAGATACGTCACGATGCTAATGAAAGTGGTAGTCGCACTTGCAATAAGACCGTTGAAGGTTTTCTCAGAATACAAGTCGATCGAGGAGATTAGTCTGAAACTGGGTATTCTCGTTAGGATGACAGATGGACCTAAAGTGTGGTTTCAAAGAAGAGTTAGTTAATGTGTCATGAAGTCACACAGTAAAAACTTAACACAATAAATATTCTTAAATATTAATGTTGTAGTTTGACTTGATAGCTTACTTACGTTAGACTAGGTGAAAGGAGCTAGTCTATGAAGAGACAAAGCAATTTTTTTGATCGTAACTGGAGTGGTCCACTAAACCATTAAGTTTGTATGTAATGGCCATCCAGGAAAGCTTTGCAAATGTGTGACTGACTTCCGCTCTGGCCGTAAGATATTCGCCGTAATCGACGAATTATCCTCTTCATCCCACAACGTCAACGAGGACGTTCCCCAGCGACCAGTTTTGGCTCCCACATTGTTCCTTTGACATATCAATGATGAGCTGGAGAAAAGAAGACCAGCAGCTACTTCCTCTCTGATGAGAGATTATTACTGCTTGGGGATGAAACAATCTTGTACAGTTCATGCTCTCAAAGCCTTGGTGATAATCCCGGAATGGAAAATGAGTCTCCCTCTTGTCGATCAAATTAATATTCATTCATTTATTATTAATTCAGATTTTATATATTTTCGTCTATATGATTGAAGTTGAGATTTTTATTCATTTTATGATACTTTGCAATAATAATAACAATAATAATAATAGCCTTATTGTCCAACAGTTTCCCATTTATAGGACAATTTATAAACATAATACAAAAGCCAAAAAATAGCGAAAAAAAGCGAAAAGAAAACAACAAATGCAACACAGGTATAAATTTGTAACATCAGCTATTGATCCGAATAAGCCTTAGCTGCCTTTAGCAGGTAATTAACATTTGTCGTAAATATATCACAGTAACATCCAATTCTGTTTAAGTTAGAGCACATTACATATAACGGTGACTTGAGAAGAATGTTTGTCCTAGCTCTAGGAAGCCCAAATATTTTATGATTGCGAGATGCAAACGTTGGAGTACGAAACTTGATCTGTTCCAGGATCATGGGCCAATCAATTAAATTGTTGATCATTTTGTAGCCAAATATTATTGAGGCACAGTACCTACGTTTTTTCAAAGTCAACGTATCTAAGCGACTACATAGTTCCTCATTACTTGTACCTCTCTCTGGATATGTCCCATCAATCCTAAACAGAACAAACTTCATAAACTTCCGTTGTACTCTTTCAATAGCTGTGCTGTAGCATTCATAGTAAGGGCTCCAAATAATACTACAATATTCGACTTTGAATCTAACATAAGCATAATATAATAGCTTAATAGACTTTATGTTATGAAAATTCCTGCAATTCCTTACTATGAAACCATAAGCCGTCAATGCTTCCTATGCTTTTTATTTATATGCTGACTAAAAGTTAACTTTTGATCATAAATTATACCTAAATCACGTACATCAGAGCATCTTTCTCGCACAGACCCACCAATAGAGTACGGATATTCGCAAACATTAATTTTCTTGGTATAGCTGACTATTTTACACTTCCTCACATTAAGCTCCAACTTGTTTTCTACACACCAAGACAACACAAAATTTAATTGGTGTTGTAGCTTGATACAATCATCAGGAGTATTTATCTGCGAATAAATTTTTAGGTCGTCAGCAAAGCATAGGCGTTCACATGCAACTGAGTCACAGAGGTCATTAATAAATATCAAAAACAGTAATGGTCCCAGGTTGGACCACTGAGGAACTCCAGAAGGTGCCAAGTAGGTCTCAGCTTGGAAGCCATTATAGCTAACAAATTGTCTACGATCGGATAAGTAAGATTTCATCAACTCCCTAGCATCATCTGTGAAACCAAGTGCACCTAACTTATTTAATAAAGTTTTGTGGTTAATTTTATCGAAAGCCTTCGAAAAGTCGGTATAAATAACGTCAACTTGCTCATTACTATCAATTGCTTCCGAGATGTACTGCGTTACTATAAATAGATTTGTGGTTGTTGAGCGATTAGCGACAAATCCGTGTTGATGCAATGACATCTGACGCTGGACGGCAGTGTAAATGCGACTGTACAAGACTATTTCAAAGACTTTCGAGAACATGCATAATATAGAGATTGCCCTGTAATTCTCAATATTTGACTTATCCTCACACTTAAACATTGGACAGACCTTAGCGATCTTCCAAATATCTGGAAATCTTTTTGTTATAAGACAAATATTAAAAATCCTAGTTAGTACACCAACAAACACTTCCACACAATCTTTGACTATAAAGGACGGGATGCCATCTATACCAGATGTCATCTTATCCTTTAGTGATTTAATGGCCTTCCTGAGTTCATTTTCCTCAATTGGATGAAAATGGACAAATAAATTACTATGATTTAGTGAGGCATTATTATGGGGCTTGTGAGTGACATAGACGTTGCTGAAAAACTCACTGAGGCTGATCTATAGAATTATTTTGAAACTTCATTATCCCTGGGATTCGTGATGTGTTGTTTTTGGAGTGAACGTATGTACCAAAAAGCATTGGGCTTAATTGTTAAAGAATTCTGGATATTTCAATATATTGATCATACGCTGATTTAATCTGGTTTTTTATCAAGCGGCGCGAACGTTTGAATTCTTGTAGATCATCAACGAAAGCAGACCTGTTATTTTTTCCTAAATTTAGCTTTAAGTTTAATGTTCTTAATAATAGTATTGTGAAACCAAGGCGGGTATCGGTGACTGTAATTCTTATACAGAGGTATGTGCCTGTCAAAAATTTTGAAAATGTTGCCATAAAATACATCAACAATATAATTAACATCAGAAGAGCAGAATAAACATCCCAGTCAAATTGAATTAACTCTTGATACAGGTTGACAAGTCAGCCTTTCTGTAGTTATAAGTTATTTTACTATGATTGAATGTAAACTTAGGCTCTTTAATGAATATGGCAGTCAAATCAACAGCTAGTGCCGAGTGCTGACGATCTTCTGGCACTAGAGGTAGTTCATCACGCTTAACACTACAGGGTAATTTAGAAATTACCAGGTCTAGCGACCGACCAAGTTGATTTAAGACATTATTTGACTGCTTATAATTAAAAATGTCCAAAAAATTATTTATAATGCGTGTCTTCGGGTCTAGAAGATTGCCGTTTACAAGTTGAGGCACATTAAAATCTCCTAGAAATAGGGAATTACAATCGTGCAAATAATCCAGTTGCTCAACAGCATCAAAGAAGGATTCAAATTCATCAACAGCAATTTTGTCAGGAATGTAAACAACAGCCACAAAAAATGTCTTATATGCCACATGGCATCTCACTATTAAAAGATCAATTGATGGAAATTGTGCATCAAATACAGCAACATCTATAACCTCAGATTTAATGCATTCCTGAACAGCTAGAAGCACTCCACCGCCACATTCCTTATCAGCCAATGTAAACTTACGGTCCTTCCTATGAACAATATAAGAGTCAGGAATTAGTTCAGCACGCAAAACATTCTCATTCAGCCACGTTTCACTTAATGAAACTAAGTCATATTCACTATCACATAAGAGGGCAGTATGCAACAGCTGATCAAACGCTTAAGTTAACTCCACTGTTGTGACGAAAGCTAGGAGGATACCCGTGTATGTGGATCGCTAGTACCAGAATTCAGACTGCCTGTCTCTGAAGCCTTGATGCTCAAGGTACTCCAGAAGCTCCTGATTTATACTCCTGTCCTTCACTTTACTTGTAAAAGACAGAAGAGCGAAGTTTTTTTCAGCTAATTGCATAGGAACCTTTCATTTTTGTTTTAGCGTTTCAAATCCTCCCGCAGTGTCACATGTATTTGAAATTGTGTCAGTTTGAAATATTTTACCTTTTTGTTCAAATCAAATAGCGATTCTCCTATGAATCCAATTATGTCTAAATTCAACGAATCCATCTTGAATTATAGCGAAAAATGTCCACAGAAAAATTGATTCTCTGAGGCATTTCCCTTTTTAGTTAGTTATAGAGTAGCTATTGAGCTAAACGAATTGCATATAAGACTTACCTATTCTAGTGTGCTATGGTACAGTTCCAAAATGTGCAGTGAGCCACTTACCTAGAAGAAAAACAAACCGTCAGTGCATGTAAGGAAAGTTAGCTATATTTTCATTTTACATGCCACAATATTGTGGTGTAGAGGCGACTTCTCATTCAATGTTATTTGACGGAGTTGATAAAAAACGTACCGAAATTAAGTTGTAGGGTTTATTACGTATAAGTATGCAATATTGTTTAATTATATTATATATTAAACTCAACTTTTGTGTTATGTTATTATATATGTTATTGTATTAAAAAATGCCCAAAAAGTCTATAATAAACTCAACAACCCTTTGTATATAACTTTTTCTTCAAAAGGTCATGAATAAACTTAGGGGGGTCAATTTACAGCGAAACACTCCGTACGTAGCCAACAGTAATTACAGAGGACTTGACTAGTATATTTTACGGCTGAACTGGACATGTTTGTTTTCTGTTTCCCGTAAGCATACCAACCGTAGAAAGCGCTGTTTCATACTCGACACGACGAAGGTATATGACCCAAAAAAATTATTGTAGCCTAGAAGTCGTTGAGCGGGAGTACGGGGAGCACTAGTTTAATGATTGGCTATTGCATATACCGCACGGTAATTCAATGTGTAAATTTTTTCATACAATAAAACGTATGCCGTGGTACGGACTTTCATAATATATACTAAGTGACATATAAATCCGAACACTCAGTTTAAATGGTTTTATTTTAATAAAAGTTGGTGAATGTATTTATCTTACTGTGAGTAACAAGTGAAAAAATTGTCAGCCTTATCAGTTGGACATTCCGGTTTTTATACTGCTTTTTTTTAATTCATCAACGCTCTAAAAATGAATATTTCAGCCGCAGTAAAGAATCAACGTTGGCGGATTTTGGTTCTTGGCATCCTTTACGATCGGTTACGATGCCTAGAGTTCGGAGACCTGTTCGATTCCGTCAACTTAGTGAGTTTGATAGGGGCCGTATAGTGGGACTTCGGGAAGCTGGACTTTCTTTTCGGGCAATTGCAGTTAGAGTGCAAAGAAGTGTAGACACTGTGGTTAGGTATTGTCAGGCATGGCTTCGAGAACGCCGTACG